GAAAAAGTAAAATTGGAGGTAATGGTGATTCCAAAAAATACTATAATATGATATAGATGACAATAAGAGATAGGGAATTATGCTGATAAAAAAATATGAGAAGTAAGAAATGATAGAGGATAAAAGTTAAAAAATAAAATAAAGAAGAAAAAAAATAGGAAAGATGACATTAAACAAAGGAAATATGAAAGGAAACAAATAAAAAATGAAAAACATGTGAGGAAAGGATATAATATTCGTTGATCTTTTAATAATAAAAGAGAATACATGATTAAAAGAGGCAAAAACAAACGTAAAAAATGAAGGATAACCTTTTTGCATGGACTCTAACTCACTTTCTTCGAAGGTTTAAATTTTCTCACCTTGTGATTGTCTTGGTTGATCCCCGATCCATTACTCGACTATATGAGTACGATATCATTTGTGGACTTGTATGTAAGCGATATGTGCATATATTTTGAAAGAACTCATTTAACTTTAAACGACTACTACCTACGAACCTATTTTTGCTCACCTTGATTTTCACTGCGTGACGATTTTTATCCAGCCTGGGTTTCGTTCTGTTTCGTTTTTTTTTTACTTTCTGGAAAACAAAAACTCAGTAAAGAAAGAACAAACATGCGGTTACATTCAAACGCCCACATCCACAAAAAGATAAAAAAATAAAATAAATACCTCTTCTAAAGTGATACTATATAGATACCTACCAAAAAATAGTTTCGTAAGTATGCATTTAGTGAGGGTGTTAAGGTCGAGGTGTGAGATCTACAATAAAACAAAATAAAAATTTGGAACTGAACTTATGATGAGAAAGAAAATTTATGCATTATTCAAAGTGGCAGTGTGGGCATGCCCTCCTCCACAAAGTGTGAATAGCTCGTGAATTGCGTCGTGCCTCTCCGGTAGGGCACCAAAATAAAAATACAAACAATGAAAACATGAAACTGACCGCAATAATGGTTAAATGCAAACTTTTAATTTTTTATGTGAAAACAACTTTGTGCACGATCTTCCCTGACTTTTTTTTTTTTTTTTTTTTTTTTTTTTCAAAGGGGCCCACAGAGCCCAATTGTCGAGCCTCGACCCCTAAGAAGGTTTTTTTTCCCCCCAAGAGTGAGCGAGATAGTAGCAGTTTAATGACTAGTACGAGAAAAAATATACAGAAAAATAATATGATTTTTTTTTACATAAATATACAGTTTTTATTTTCTTTATTTCATATATATGCCCAACCAGGGTTGTCGGCGTTCGGGACAGGCCGAACGCCTGAACCCGAACGCCTGAACGTTCGACATCCCCTCTCGACACAAAAATTATATTATACAGAATAATAAACTAAACAACATTTGCCTCAATATTACATTCAAATTATTTACCAAATTTGAAATAAAAATCAAATACTAAAAATAAATAATAATAATAAAAATTAAAAAAAATAAAACAAGAATGAAATTATTAAGTGGGCGAACACGTTTTTGACATCATCATCTTTGGTGATTTTTTTTTTTTTTTTTGCTATCACAAATGCTATGAAAAATTATATGTGTATCTTACTTAATAGAGAATCTACAAATAAAGTTTGAAAAATAATATTTTTTTCATGCCCTGAAATAAATGAAAAACTTAAATTGAAACAAAAAACAAAAAACAAATTAGTGAGTGGGCAAATAAGTTTTGACACCACCATCTTTGAGGATTTTTCTTTTTTTTTTTGGCTGAACAGAATGGCTTCGAAATTGAGAGGAAGATATCTTATATCACAAAGAACCCGCACAAAAAATTGAGAAAAAAATAGTTTTTTGCGGGATCCGAACCCCTTTAAGTTCGAGCCCCGCACGGGGCCCTGAAAACCCGAACGTTCAGGGGTCAGCTTAAGGGTCTCCGTACATTCAGTCTGGCAACCCTATGCCCAACTATATATGTTGATTATCACCATATACCCAACTTATTTAATGTTAATTGAATTTTTAATTCACAAACATTCTTATTCATTTTTGTCAACTGAAGCAACAAGAAATTCAAAAATTGTGGAATGAAGACTTGAATCAAAATTAATATCAATCTTCATAGTAGCTTCGATGAACAAATAAACTTATGATATAATTGTTATCACGTCGTCAAAAAAGACAACTTGAATGATTTGGATGTTGATGTGTGTTGATTGTCGTGTCCATTCTTTTTAACCTTGTTAGTATTGATCAACAATCTAAAAATATTTTTTCACACTCACTTTCTCCATTGACATCTAAGTAATTTGCAGCAACCCAGATGCCTCACAATTGTCCATTATAGGTAGGAAAATCATCTGTCGTGAGACAAATTGCAGTCTTTATCTTTCTTTTCCTCTCTGTCTCTTACCTCTTATCTTCCTTGCTCATTCTCTATCCCTCTCTTGCTATCCAGACCTTGGGCCAATGACCAATAAGGATGGCAGGATTATGAGCGATGATAGACGTAGGAGACAATACCATTGGATAAAGTTGAACCAATTTATTTTATTTTACTTTTAGACCACCACCACCTCTGATCCTGTTTTTATCGAGCATGATTTTCACTACGTACCAAGTTTTGTTGAGCCCGGACAAATACATCCAAAAAAAGGGAAAAAAAAGTAATAATTTTTCCAACGTCGTGATAACCATAAGATAAGTTTTATGATGTGCTGATACGACTGTGCCCTCAATGAGTCAGTGATGGAGTGTGTTCGACAAAAAAACCTACAAAGGAGGGGGGGAAATGTATCATTTATTTAATGTTAATTGTATTTTTTGTTCAAAAATATTTACATTCATTTTTGTCAACTGAAACAACAAAAATATAAAAAAAACTATGGAATGCAGGTTTGAATCAATACGAATACCAATCTCCACAGTTTCTTAGTTGAACCACTTAACTTACGATATAACTGTTGTCACGTCGTAAAAAAAAATCAAGAAGTTTGAGTTCGAATCTCGCATTCAAACACATTCTGACTAGAATGGGTGGGGTATTTTTTTAGAGTTGCAAACCGGAAAGAGGTAAAACCGGATAGAAAGAGATGTACGGCTGGGAGAGGGGTAAAGGGAACAATTGTGAACATGTAAACTAAGTGTTAAAGAGTTACGTCACAAGTTTTTTATGCAAAAAGTTTTTTTTTTTTAAAGATAATTTGCGAAATACCCCCATAAGTTGGGATATATGTCACAATGCCCCTATTAGATGTAGGTAGAGTGGAATACCCCTCTTACAAAAAAATTTTTTTTGCAAAATACCACTAGCGTTGGTTGAACCTGTCATCTTTGCAAAATATCCCTACTGGGTACTGTCAATGTTTGCAAAATATCCTGATAATTATCAATTTTTTCCAAACCCTATGTATTTTCGTTTTACCCCTCGTGGCTAAGGTGATCTTTGTGTTTTGCCCCCTCGCTGTGTATGTCTGCCTATGTGTGTGTGTGTGTGTGTGTGTGTGTGTGTGTGTGTGTGTGTGTGTGTGTGTGTGTGTGTGTGTGTGTGTGAGTCTGTGTGTGTGTGTGTGAGAGAGAGAGAGAGAGAGACAGAGAGAGGGGCTACTTCCAGTCGTGAGGGCACAAAGATAGAGAGGGGCTACTTCCATCCATAGGATGAACAAAATCGTAATGAATCTTTCGATAGATTATGAAATATACACTGCCATTTTCTTTTTCATTTTTTATTTTTTGGTGCGTGCGTGTGTGTGTGTGTGTGTGTGTGTGTGTATAGCGAATATAACAACATACACACAAGTGCGACAATGTATATTTCCATGTTCTCGCGGTAGATTTATTCGATTTAGCTCATCCTATCGATGAAAGTAGTGTACGGTCAGCCAAGGGGTTGGAAACTTACCTGTTGGCCAGCGTGTTGCTCATCCTATTCATGAAAAACTCTCTCTCTCTCTCTCTCTCTCTCACTCACACACACACACACACACACACACACACACACACACACACACACACCATGGAGGAAGATAAATGAAGTTGCCGAACATGGAGGCAAACTGCCCCGCCGATGGGCCTGGGTATTGGGCAACATTGCCCACCCGGTATGGAGGGCAGACCGGGTAAAACAGGATGCAGGCCCAAGCCTACATAATGCGGTCTAGATTGCAAAATTGGACATGGGCTTGACAGGGGCGAAACGCAAAGAATTAGGCATAAAAGGGCATTCCGCTCAACCCACATCTTTTAAGGGCATTTGACATATATCTCAACTTATAGGGGTATTTCGCAAATTAAACCTTTTTTTTTATTATATAATTTGGACCATTTCTCGATTTATGCATGTCATTCTTGCGCAAGGGCCATGTTAATCTTCATTGTATCGTTCCAATTTTAACGGATGTCCTGAGGAACCAAACAGGCATTCCAGTATACCCACATCTTTTAGGCTAGGAAGTTTTTTTATGCCCGGTCGGGCACCCGGGCGTGTGACGCCCGGGAGGGTATGACGCCTGGGATACCAAGATGTGCAAAAAAAAAAAAAAAAAAAAAAAAAAAAAAAAAAAAAAAACGTTTCTGCGCTCTCCCAGAGGACCCCAAATCCGGGCTCTTTTCAAGTTTTGAGAGTTGGCTGCCAAGGGGGGGGTGTTAGTGTGGTTTTGTTATTTTCTTTTTTATCTCTGATTCTGTGAGGAATTCTGATGTGACCCTCAGCCAGAAGTTGTTTGTATAGGAATTCTACACAGCATTTTTTTTTTCTGGAAATTTTTGACTTGTATTTTTTTTTTGTTTTTTGTTTTTTGTTTTTTTTTGTTTTTTTGTTTTTTTGTTTTTTTGTTTTTTTGTTTGCGCTGGGGCTGCCCGGAACCTTGCCCGGGGGTCAAGCCCGGCCGGGCACCCGGGCTTGTATCCAGGCACAAGTTGGGTGCCCGGGCGCCCGGAAAAACATCCTAGCTTTTAGGGGCATTTCGCAGATTTTTCGCACTCCCACAGGAAATTGGAGTTGAGAAAATCAGAATACCGCGTAAGGTCGCTGTGTGGAGAGCTTATTGCCAGGACGGCGGCATTGTTCGCCCTCATCGAGAGCAAGCAGATCTCAGCGCGAGACCGGCGGCGACCGCCGTTTGTTGTCTTCGCTTCGCTGCGCTGCGCTGCGCTGCGCTGCGGTTGTCGTGCTCTTCCTCGTGACTTGGTTGGGTGCGGCTGCCATATCCAATCTTTCTTTGTCGTCCGTCGCAAGTGCGGTAGGCAGCCATGGGAAAGGAGAAGTCACATATCAACATCGTGGTCATCGGCCATGTCGACTCCGGCAAGTCGACGACCACGGGCCATCTCATCTACAAGTTGGGTGGCATTGACAAGCGTGTGATCGAGAGGTTCGAGAAGGAGGCGGCTGAGATGAACAAGCGGTCCTTCAAGTACGCTTGGGTGTTGGACAAGCTGAAGGCGGAGCGCGAGCGTGGAATCACCATCGACATCGCTTTGTGGAAGTTCGAGACGACGAAGTACTACGTGACTGTCATCGATGCGCCCGGCCATCGCGACTTCATCAAGAACATGATCACGGGCACTTCGCAGGCGGACTGCGCTGTGCTGGTGATTGACTCGACGACGGGAGGTTTCGAGGCGGGTATCTCGAAGGATGGGCAGACCCGTGAGCATGCCCTGCTGGCGTTCACGCTGGGCGTGAAGCAGATGATCTGCGCGTGCAACAAGATGGATGCCACGACGCCCAAGTACTCGGAGAACAGGTACAACGAAATCAAGAAGGAGGTGTCGACCTACCTGAAGAGGGTCGGGTACAACCCTGACAAAATCCCGTTCGTGCCSATCTCCGGGTTCGAGGGCGACAACATGATCGAGAGGTCTTCGAACATGGCGTGGTACAAGGGCCCGATCCTCCTGGAGGCTCTCGATCTGATYTCGGAGCCGAAGAGGCCGTCCGACAAGCCTCTGCGTCTGCCTCTCCAGGACGTGTACAAGATTGGCGGTATTGGAACGGTGCCCGTGGGAAGGGTGGAGACGGGCGTCATCAAGCCTGGCATGGTGGTGACGTTTGCGCCCTCTGGKCTGACCACTGAAGTGAAGTCGGTGGAGATGCACCACGAGGCAATGACCGAGGCGCTCCCTGGGGACAACGTGGGGTTCAACGTGAAGAACGTGAGCGTGAAGGAGTTGAAGAGAGGCTTCGTGGCCTCGGACTCGAAGAACGACCCCGCGAAGGAGGCGGCGAGCTTCACGTCCCAGGTGATCATCATGAACCACCCTGGGCAGATCGGTAACGGGTATGCGCCGGTGCTGGATTGCCACACGTGCCACATCGCGGTGAAGTTTGCAGAGCTGGTGGTGAAGATCGACCGGCGAACGGGCAAGGAGCTCGAGAAGGAGCCTAAGTTCCTGAAGAACGGAGACGCTGGTTTCGTGAAGATGGTTCCAACGAAGCCGATGTGTGTTGAGACCTTCGCCCAGTATCCCCCTCTGGGTCGTTTCGCCGTGCGTGACATGAGGCAGACGGTGGCCGTCGGCGTGATCAAGGCCGTGGAGAAGAAGGAGAAGGAAGGCAAGGTGACGAAGGCCGCAATGAAGAAGGGAGGGAAGTGAGCTGGGAGCTTATCCTTTCATGTGGAATCGGTGCGGGATTCCGACCTGCTTTTACTGTTGGAGGGATCCCGTTGTCCGAGCGACGAAATTACGTATGGTTTTCTTAGTCACGCAGAGTCGGTTCCAGCAGCTGGTGGTGGTTTCGCCGGCGGTTTGGCAGTTGGAGAGTTGGTAAACGCGGTAGTATTCTGTCGGACGTTCAGTTTTTCTCCTGTTTTCCGACGGGGAGTGGGATTGGGTGACGACAATGTTTCTATGAAGAAAAAACGGTTGTTGGGCTGAGGGAGTGGTCGTATTGGTGTCTTTCGGGTGACGCTAGGTCAAGGGAAGACATTTGTCGAGCGATTCTCTCTTCATCATTCTCATCTTGGAGTTCCGTGCGGTATTCGTTCGGTCAATATGATGATCGGACGCTACAGCTCGATCGCGACAGACCTGGGTACTCGATAGGCGATTGCGTGGGTAGTGAATTGGGGAGATTTCTCAGCTTTTTTTCTTCTTCGAGATTTACTAATTCTTTTGCGGATTGCCGAGTAACCTGTTGAGTTGATTCCTTGCCAAGTAAACGTTTTGGTTAGATCGTTAGGGTTTCGAACGAAAATGCGGTTGTGGTCTCTTTCTTTTTTGCTGAGTTTCTATGGCGGAGGGAAACGATTTTTTGGTTCTGAATCGATGGTGATTGGTTGGCCCTGCCTTAATGGCAGTCTAATTTGGGTAATGGGTTCGCGGCTTACACTGGCGTGAGGAAACTATCGGCACAACGCTCAACAATCCTTCTCTCTCGCTCGTTATTGTATGTAAGGCATGCCGTCACCCTGTTGACATTCCCCGATCTTTATCTCTGTGTGTAAAGGTCTTCCGACAGTGGCAGTGCCCTTGCCCCCGCCCTTATTACAACATATTGAATTTAAAAGAACCCCTCGACGCTCCCCTTCTCTGCCCTGACATCGTCCTGATCCCTGGTGTTAATTTCCCCTCTTGCGCATACGGCGCTAATGGCCGGTTTTAATTCTCTCCCTTTTGTACGTAATTGTATCCTGCAATGCCCCATTGTGCTGTCCCCTGCTGCAGGCCCCCTCTTTTGCATGTGGAAGTACTTCTGGTGACCGTGACACCTCCCTCTCCCAGCCCTGGTTTTGGATATCCCTCGACATTCCCTCCGTCGCTAGTGTAGAGCATTTTGCACACTTCATGAATGATGTGAAACTAATCCTCCCCTCCTTGGTCCCTATCTCCTTTGTACACGGTGCATCTTGTGACCCCTTTTGACCTACTGCTTCTACGGCCTCCCTTGCTTGTGCGGATCATCTGTGACCCTGCGTGGCTGCCGTATATTGTACTCCCTCATTGTTCCCCTGCCTGGAATTGTTTTATGATGTTTCGCAACCCTCCTTAATGCGCCGCACCTGTCCGTGGAAAGAATCTTCAAGCCATGGTTGACCTTCGCCTGTCTTGTGTAAAGCTACCAGTCTTGACGGTTCTCCTTCCTCCTTTCTGCAATGGGTGGATTTGGGATGGATTCGTTGGGTCGGGAGTCGTCTACGTGTGCCAGACAGAATCTGCCAGAGTAGGTGGCCGAACATGTTTGGCGGGAAGTCACTAGTAGTCGTCCATGGTTTGGCGGGAAGCTTCCTACGGCAAACTTCCCGCCAAACCGCCGTCTTAACCCGAATTGAGCTCCCAGTCGTTATAGCCGTATTCCGTACAATTCAGTCTTGGTACGGCGATGATGGCCGGGCGTTGTATGCGGGTGAAGGCGGTAGTAGCATTTCCGCACTCGGAAATCCTGTTCGGTGGAGGAGCAAGTTACTCATGGGTGATGTAGACGGTAAACAGGTCTGTGGAACTGTGAAGAAGCGTTCTCTGCATCCGTCTATTATGCGTAAATTGGAAGTTTTCTGTGTCCCGAAATTCAGATGATCACTGTTGTCTTGTTGTTGTGAAAAACAAGCATAGAAAACATGGTCGCTGTTGTCTCGTTGCTGAAATATGCGAGGCCTACATCCATTTTATGAAGAGCAAGTTGTTTGATTGCTTGTCGGTCGGGTGCGTCAACTTGCAATTGCACTAGCCTATTCAAATTTCATTTCATGGTCCTAAATGTATGCAGTGCGAAAGGAGTTTCAAATTTCATTTCATGGTCCTAAATGTATGCAGTGCGAAAGGAGTGTCTATGTACAGGCCTACCGGTAGTCGAGTTTCATTTCACGTTTGTGAAGGTAGAGCCGCAAAAGGAGAATCTACTATTGAGTGTCATTTCACGCCTGTAAAGGTAGAGCCGCAGGAGAACAAATCAGGGGGTTGGTTCATTCGGGATTCTTCCTGTTGGTGGCGCGACAGGCACAGCACCGCTCTTTCTCTTCGATCACGAGGTCGTAATCTCCCCTTCTCTAACCGGCAACGTGTTGACTCGCTTGCCCATTTTCGCTGGAATACTGATTTGTATTCTGCGGGAGCGTGGCATAAAAAGCAACTGCGACAGCTAGATACTGCCACCGCAACTGAGCGCTTTGAATTACAGCTGAGAGGTGTTGACCAACAGCTGCTCCAACCAGGTCATGTTCTACTTTCTGTTGCTGGAGTCATTTATGCTGTTGTGGATATACCCTCCGGGCGTTTGTATGTTGGCCAGACAATCCATACTGCACATCAACGTTTGAAGGAGCATTGGCAGGCATTGGCATGTGCGGACATTCTGCTGTTGATTATCGTCATCGGCATCTCTATCACGTTATGCGACAACAGTCTCTTTTCAATTTTGCTGTTTGGCCGCTTGAATGCATTTTGATCTTGCGCTCTACATTAATGACCGCGGTGAGATTGATCATGCCTCTTTGGGCGGGCGGCCGCACCCAGAGAAGGCTTCTGGGTCCGATGGCTGCGTACCTTGCACCCTTCGGGCTTCAATGCAGTTCCATCATATCCATAATTATCATGGCAGCCACGCCCGATCGCTGGCGGCGAGTTGGTCCTGCCCCTACTGCTTCTCTTCACTCTGCTGCTCCTCACCCGTCTCCACCTGTCGTATCCTCTCGGGCCTTTACCATTGATATTAGCCCGGGCCCTCAATTTGCACTACGAACAGCGTTATGGCGGTTATTGGCATTAGGCGCAGCGGGTACTTGGTCCGAAGTTGCTGCTTCCATTTAGCGGGCTACGCCCGCTTGGCGAGATCGCGTGCTGCAATGGCTCTATATAAATGTTTCTAATGCTGACATGACTGTGGACGTCCGTGAACTTGAATGCCTTATTCGGCGGTTTCAACATGTCAGACAGGGATATTCTGCCCATTCCCGTGACACCTTCGGAATACTTTATCAGGATTGTGCACATGCACGAGATCCTGAAGGCCACTAAGCTGTGCCATGTGTTGCATTCTCCGGACCTGTGTGCATTACACCCTGACCCTTAGTGGCCTTCAGGATCTCCTGCATGTGCACAATCCTGATAAAGTTTTCCGAAGGTGTCATGGGAATGGGCAGAATATGGCTGTCTGACATGTTGAAACCGCCGAATAAGGCATTCGAGTTCACGGTCGTCCGCAGTCTGACATGTTGAAACCGCCGAATAGATGTCAGCATTAGAAACATCTATATAGAGCGACTGCAGCACGCGAGCTCGCCAAGCGTGCGTAGCCTATTGGCATTAGGCGCAGCTGGTACTTGGTCTGAAGTTGCTGCTCCCATTCAGCGGGCTAGCACGCGAGCTCGCGTGCTGCAGTGGCTCTATATAAATGTTTCTAATGCTGACGTGACTGCGGACGTCCGTGAACTTGAATGCCTTATTCAGCGGTTTCAACATGTCAGACAGCGATATTCTGCCCATTCCCGTGACACCCTTGGAAAACTTTATCAGGGTTGTGCACATGCATGAGATCCTGAAGGCCACTAAGCTGTGCCATGTGTTGCATTCTGCGGACCTGTGTGCATTACACCCTGACCCTCAGGCAGCCAGCACTATTCGCATCTGTGACAAACTTGTACCCCCAACAAGGGTGCAATTCTGTAATTTTACGGACGTTTCCTTTAGTGTCACTCCGGGCCTGCGCCTACCTGCTGCTGCTGCTGATTGTCCTTGTCGGTGGGCCTTTCCTAACTGCACCGATCTGGTTGACGGCCATGTTTGTTTCTGCCAACTATGATCTGATTCCGAATGCGAACCTGTGTCACCTGTTCTATGCGGGCTCTAAATATAGACTGAATGGTGTAGTGGACTTCAAGCACTGGCTGTTGGTATTGAAGAGTTGGTATTGAAGAGTATATTGCTGCGTATCTTTGTCCGACAGCACCACAATCCTGCACTGCTACCGTAGCTTCACAATTGGCTCTTTGGTGTGCCGCAGTTTTGCGTCACTGTGAGTGCAATATGGCTGCCGCATCACCTTTGCGACAGCCTCGCTCTTTGTGACACGCACATACGGCCCTGCGTCAGCTCCAAGAATCCCTTGCAATTCTTCCTGTGCGCACATACGGCCCTGCGTCAGCTCCAAGAATCCCTTGCAATTCTTCCTGTGGATAAAACATCACATAATCTGGCTATCTGTTGTAAAAACTGGTATCGTTTTAAGCTTTCAGCCCATCTTGGCAGTCCTACTTATTCTCGGCCCACAGCGGCTGACATTCTGAATAGCCATGCACATTGGAACAATCATTGGAATTATCCTTGTGCTGACACATTGACGTATCTTTATTGCGCTCTTAAGGCCCATAAGTCTCCTCCCACACTCCGTCCTATTCTTGGTATCACTGCCCGCAACAATCTGTCCTATTCTTGGTATCACTGCCCGCAACTATCTTTCTCCTTCTTGTACGGCCCAGGTATCACTGCCCGCAACAATCTTTCTCCTTCTCATACGGCCCAGTGAAGTGACCTGCACCCCTCCCAACGAGCCCAACGTTTGCATCGCCGACCGCCTCACAAGCCTGTTGCTAGTACAACACCTACATCAGCTCGTTTGAGTGCGGCACTTCAAGGCGTCATCCATACTCTCCGTGAAAAAGATAATCAACTCTTCCAATCTGAAGGTATTCGATGATGTTGGATTGTCCAGAGCAGTGACCAGGTCATGCTCGACTTCAAAAAGAATAAAGCTTCTCTCCGAGGTCTGGCCTCCCATACGGTCGATTTCACTACTATGTATACTAATC